TAGGCCATCATTGGCTGAAATAAATTGGTCCAAGGCAATAATGGGTTGCTGGGGCTGGTGAATTGTGACTTTATTTTATAGCCGGGGTGACCGAACTTATAAAAGCCTGGAATAAAAGTACGAGCTGCTGAGAGCTGCCGGGTACTGCCAATCAATCCCTGTATTCTTTCAGCACAGAGTGCTGCAATTAGCGGAGGTAATCCGTGTATTGTTTGTGCAGAGCGCATTTGTTTGCGCTGCCGGGCGCTCGCAGGGGATTATCGCTGCACTGCACTGAAGACAAAACACGGGCTGTGCGGGCTCATTATGCACCTGCGCCCCATGAATGACCCAGTCCGGGTGCTGCTGGCCCTTGCCAAGTTGACTGACAAGGCACGGCCTGCGAAAGAAGGCACACTTTGAGTGCGACACTTGCCACCATCCCTCTGCGTCGACCCCTGCTTCAAGGAGTACCATACTGTCCACTAATTGACACTTTGAACATTTATTTTCATGGCCATTTTCATTGACATTATATTTTGTGTTTTTCATGTGTGTTTTGACTTGATGCCCCACTTATCTAGTGTAAAACAATATGTCATTTACTGGTGGTTTTAGGATATGTCATAGTTTCAACCTTTGAAAAAAAATGACAAAAAGANAATGACAAAAAAGACAAAGTTTCTGGAAAGTACTACTTTGAGGATGTTGTATTTTCATCTCTTGAAAAAACGGCACATTTCCTTGTAATGGTTTTACTAGGTCATGTTTTCAGCCTTTGAAAAAAATGACAAAAAAGGACAAAGTTTCTAGAAAGTACTTTTTATTCCTTGCACCGGTGTTTGCTTTTTTTTGATAAGAAAGAGTGGAAATTTATTTTACTACTTGTATGAGTTCAACTATTTCAATGAGAAATGAAAAGAAAAAACAAGAGAAATAAAAAAGAAGAAAATAAGAGAAAAAAGAAGTTCTCTCCAAATATTTGTCTGTGTGTGCATTTCTATGTGTACTTTATTTCATTGGTTTCTAAATTTTACTTGAAATTGTTGGGGAAATAAAGTTTGGGAAGGGAAATATCACTATGGGAGGAAAAATGAACAAGTTGGGAGATAAAATATGAGAGTGGTTTGGGGGAGATATAAGTTTGGTAGATGGGAAAATAGATAACAGAAATAGATAACAGAAATAAAGTTTGGGAAGGGAAATATCTTACACTATGGGAGGGAAAATGAACAAGTTGGGAGATAAAATATGAGAGTGGTTTGGGGGAGATATAAGTTTGGTAGATGGGAAAATAGATAACAGAAAAAAAAATAATAGCTTCAAAAAATAGCCAAAGTTACATGCAGCAGCGAAAAAGCCACATTTTTAGACCCTTTTTTTACAGCATGAATTCATTTGTCCGTCATTGTCCGCACTCATTGAGCAGTTGACAAAGCCCAGTGCACGTGCACAACTTCCCATTCACTCACCGCATATTACACGCTGAGGTCTTGACCGTCAATCGCTCCGCATAGCAACACGGCAGCATAGCAACGCACTGGGCCAAGGCCCGGAACAAATGAGCCCTTATGTAACACACACAATGGGGGCTCTATACAGAGCGGGCGGCGTGGCCGCAAAACCGAAGGGTCAATGGAAGTTGCTTGTGAGGGCTAGACTCGCCACGGAACACCCATTTTATGGGGTTTAGGCATTCAGAAAAAAAGGTATGAATTTTTGAAGATTTTTGAAAAACGAAAATATGAAAAAACCGCCCGGCAGCGCATGTAACGGTTAAAAAAAGCATCCGGCTGCAAGTGGTTAACTTTAGCGCAAGATTACTATAAGAACGAAAGAGAAATCGGGTACTTTACCCTCTGTTATTTTATTTGAAATATACATGTACCTAAGAGTCGGAATGCGAAGTAATATTTCATTAAAAGCGCTCAGTTTAAGTGCAAATCACGTGACATGAACTTAAAGGAGCAGTGTTTCCGCAAATGAGTTTTTTGCCCTAGACTTTGTACCTGTTTTCAAGGTACAATTTTGATACCTTTCCGATGTTTTGCCACGTTTGCAGCTGTTCAAAATTGAAAAATCAAAATCTCAGAAGTTTTCCCATGTATTCTTGTAAAACCCCTACGAGGAGGTGGTGTGTAATCCTGTTCCGAGAACAATGTTCTTGAGTTGTGTTCTCGCCATTCAGGTGCGAGAACAAGAAACCCACGACAAGAACAGGCTACCCAACACGACCAGGCCTCAGGCCCCACAGTTCTGGGGGGGGGGGTTACATGGACAACACTTGATGCCCCTGTGCACAAACCTATATGTGACTTGTCTAAAAAAACGGTTTTCTAAGTAAATGCTTTGGAATTTTCCTTGCTAAATTTCTCTTTTTGGGACATGTAAAAACTTTATGATAGCTGTTGTAATATTTTAAGGGTAAATAAGTGTTGTCTGTAACTCATACAGAACTCTTTCCCCCGACACTCTTGATGATACAGTGGACGTCACAATACAACACTTTACATGCCACAGAGATTTACCCCCCCCCAGAACTGTGGGGCCTGAGGCCTGCCCCGCTTCCAACCCCACACTTTCATTTAATTTCATTTCATTTATAACTTTTTCAGGTAAGACAAAACAAAATACAAGTACATATACAACCAAGAAACAGTAGTTAACAAAAAAATGGCAACAGCACCCCTGAGGGATCGCCAAATGCCGAGACCCAAAGAATAGAGAGAGAAAAAACACAACATAAGAACCCCCCCCATGAATTACAAAAACAAAAACATAAACATCATTTAAACAAATATGCATACATGCATCAATTTACAATGTACATATACTTCAGTTCTGAGGCAGTTGGTAAAAGTCCGAGGTAGCCGGAGGTACATGTAGTCAGAGGTAGCCTGAGATAGCCAGAGGTAGCCTTAGGGGGCATTAAACATTTAGTAAAACACTTAAATGTCTACTCACTCACCCTCCTGGTATGAAGGATCAATTTCTCCTTGGGCTTGACTTTTTATGGTCTGAACACTTGCCAAAATGATTTTACCGTGAGCCAAAATTGACCACCTCTACCCCCCCTGATCTGTGGTGACGGTATGATGCAAGCACATATAGTGTGCAGTTGTGTATGTGTACAAGACGTGCACACACAATGTATATTGTGCATCAATGCCACATGTACAACACAGCTTGTTCAAACACGAATCTCTGCCTGACAAAAGAGGAAATGTAAATCCAAATTGAATTCTCAAGTTAATGAAACTTGGTGTACCTGAAGAAAAAGCGTATGTTCTGCTTCAAAGCTGTACAGTGTTTGTGGCCTGTGTACATCCAGTTTGTGGCCTAGCCTGTTAAAGAAAGCCGCCACCTGGTGGTGAAATAAACAGTAAGCTACCAGTTCTTGATTTAATTTCAAGTGTGACGCCCTGTACTGGAGGTTGAATGAAAATAGTGGAAAGTTACTTGAAAAATTGTCCAAAAATGACAAAATGTCTTTGATGTATGCTTAAACAAAAAATACCTGTTATTTTATTTCTTCATTAACAATAACGACCATAAAATATTTTGTGTAGCTTGTCAGAGGTATAATCAACTACGCCTTCAACAGTATTCACACGATTTTCGCCCGTTTACTTGGACCCGGAGGTTTCTTGCAACATCGTAGCCGGCTACCAGGTACTTGGTTTGGACTTTCGTTTTTCCTTTTACCATTCATTGGCGTGCATTCATTGACTATACCTCCAATTGTGGAATCCCATTTAGTTACTTTTCGCCCATTTGCTTCTTTGGGCAAACTATTTTAAGTGAAGTGTTTTGACCAGCCGTTTCGGCAACGCACAGCACCACCGTGCCACAACTGGTAACACACACAGTAAAGGCAACACTCCTCAGTCTACTTGCAACAGAAGACTACCATACTATCTTACACTTCTCAACTACACCTTTTACAATTTCTTATTGATAAAATGAGTAATTGTCCAGAAAGTATCTGAGAAACATCCTCTTTTTTCTTCAGTTCTTAGAGGGCGCTCTAAAGAGAACATGGCTGACTTTCAACACTTGCGTTGTGTGATAATAATTGAACTTGAAAACTGAGAGACGTTGCAACAAAAAATTTTGACCTTTTTTGCAGACAAAGTCATACCTGTCATCTACATCACTTATTAACATAACATTAACAAAATTTTGTGAGAAGGGAAATATATACGGAATTTCAGTGAAGGTTCCGGGTTGTTCCGACATGTTCCGACCGATCCGATTTTTACCAAACGCCCTGCGCGGATTTGATTTTGCAGCTTGGTCTGCGCTGCATCACGGCTAGCCCCACTACTAGTGTGGCTCGGACCGGTCGTACTAATTAACGTAAACACAACGTCAACACGCGTCAACACATGATAGTAATGTCAACACACTGCCAACACACCCAAATCACATTCTAAGTTAACAGAAATGCAATTCAATAGCAATATAATGCCTACAATACAATTTGGCTAACAACAGTGGGCGACATTCAGGGGGAAAAAGCTGTTTTATTTCACGAAAATAACACCCTCCGCACAGCCACGGTAGCCATGTTGCCTCTCGGTCAGACCATGGTCAGACGGACCATACCATTACGCTACAGGGGGTCACCTTTATCCCTAACACTCGCAAATCCTCCAATTTCAATACAATTTTTACATACATTTGTTGTACACCCTAGGGGTTAGGGTTAAACAGAAAACCATGGACGGTCCAAACGTTGTGAGAAGGCAAGATGGTGGCGAACGGCGGCGCTGCTCAGAGACAGTTTTTTCGTGTGAAAAAACTCCCTTGAAAAGTAGTAAAATGTAAACTTGATTAAATAAAAATTATTCCTAAGCATATACATTACAGTTTGATACGTCTGTTTTCTGTTTTCAATGCATTTTGTAAGTGTTGACGGTGTGTTGACGTTACTATCAATGTATTGACGCGAGTTGACGGTGCGTTGACGCTGATTAGTACGACCCGCACGGACTCTCACTCCCGCGGTCCATCCTTACCCTCACATCTGTAAACGCAATTTCGTGTCGGCGTACTGAAATTTTCGGTGCACCCACTTATCATCGTGGGCGCAATTTCTTTTGCACACAGGGATGATCCTTAGCCTCTCTGCTTTCTTAACGCCATTTATTGAATGATTTCACTCACGCTGTTCTGGTATTTTCCAGTTTTTTTGCCTTCACCCAATTCAATCTTACGGACTCGCTCTCACAGTCGCCATCTTTTAAATAAGATCGTTGAGAAATTATGTCACTTTACCCCTCATCGTCGCGTCTCGAGGCTGTTCCACGTCATGACATATCTAATGCACGGACTGAGCGATAAGATACTACATTTGCCAATGGGCTCTTCCAAAACTTTGGCAGCAGTTTAGATTGTTAACATGGAACAGCCGTCGAGAAGATGAGGGGTCAAGGACGTAATGCTCGACGACCTTATTTTAAAGATGGCGACTGTGAGATTTGGTCGGTGAGATTGAATGCGTGAAGACAAAAAGACTGGAAAATACCAGAACAACGTGAGTGAATCTCAATAAATGGCAATAAGAAAGCGGAGAGGCTAAGATCATTGTGCAAAAGAAATTGCGCCCACGATGATTAGTAGGTGCGCCGAAAATTTTCAGTACGCCGACACGAAATTGCGTCTACGGACGTGTGGCAAGGAATACGATGGAGCTGGAGTGAGAGTCCGTGCCACACTAGTGGGGCTAATTGTGATCATGCCTATTAGTTGTCAACCCCAGCAATTTCTTGTGCCGGTGTATGAATTTGGTTTCAGTTCAGCTTTTATGTGATTAACATGGAATCCTCTGATCTAGCAAAACCATTAAGAACTCAATTGGTGTAATTTTGGGTCCGCGAACACGTGGGCCCATCGAAAATATCGTCCCGGTCAAATCCATACGCGTGTTGACGCGAGACCGCGCAAATGGTCGATACATGCACCATCGAGGAATAAAACAAACACGGATGATTTATGTTGAGAATCAAAATTGGTTGAGGCCCTGAGACATGAAATCTCAGCATTCATTCCCCTAGATATTTCGCACGATATTTTTCACAACCTTCTATCCAAATTATAGAATAAGACTGTGCCAGAACGCTCACATCGGTGCTAGTTTCCACAGCCAAAATGAAAATTTCCCTATCCCCAGAGCCAAATTTCTTAATTTTCCTCCCGATTTCCTTATTTTTTAGTTAACCACCAAAAAGCCTAAAATAGCTACCAAAACTACTATGTTTGTTTGCTAGATGATAAGCAGAGGTCATTACAATGCTCAAACTCACGGCCTTGAACAAAAAAAAATCAGGCTGTGAGCATCACGCAGAAAGTATTCTACTGGTCTTGTTTCCACTCATCCTGAATCTAACAGAATAGTACTGTAGAGTTTGAAATGTAGATTTTGTACGAAGCAGGATAAGAGTAAAAAAAGATCTGAACATGTTTTCCGAGGAATGTAATGTTTTTTTAAAAATCGATTTTTTTAATCTAATGTTTTTTTAATCTGTTAAAACAGAACATACTTTGAAATTTTGAATTCATTTTCCCCAAACCGAATGAAATCTTTCGTACCTAATATATCTTTTTTGGATGAAATTTTACAGACCTAACATCTTTTTAAGATTCGACCGAAATTTTTTTGACCTAACATGTTTTGAAGATTGGAATAACATTTTTTAGACCTAATATGTTTTTAAGATTCCAGTAAATTTTTTCAGACCTAACATGTTTTCGAAATCCGAATGAAATTTGAGAGACCTAACGTTTTCCAGATTAGAATGCATTTTCCCCAACAATAAACAGCCAAAGGTTTAGAGTTCCGCGCCCGCACTTCATTTGAATTCAGAAAGTATCCGAATTTCGAAAGCATTCGACTTTAAAAAGCTGCCGAATATTGAGAAAGCATCCGAATTGAGAAAGCATCCGGTCTTTTTGATGGTGTTCGGCCCGATGGTACCCGAAGTTCAAAATCTTTTCCGACAATTCGGCTGTGTTCGGTATGCGCATGCACAGTCAAACTATAGAATTATTTCCGCTCCCTTAAACAATCGGGAAGTCAGTGCTATAAGCCCCAAATTTCAAATTAAGTCAAGCGACTACGTACGTATGGTGTACTATTTACGACAAACATTTCTCTCTCTCTTAAGCCTCCCTCCAGGCGACGCAACTACACGGCACGACGGCTCCCTTCGTCGTGCCGTTGGGTTGCACCGTCGCCTTCTTGCCATAACGGTTGTACACACACGACGCGTCGCGTTGTGCGTCGCGTCGTGCCGTCGCCCGTCGCGTCGTGCTACTTTAGGTATTTTCCATGTTGCATTTTTTGCCGCCTAAACGTCGCCCCTTCCGTCGCCCGTCGCGTCGTGCTGTCGTGCGTCGCGTCGTGCATTATGTCGTGCATCGCGTCGCCTGAAGCACGACGCGACGCACGACGCGACGCGTCGTGTGCTGTTGCCCTTTACTTCATAGTGTTTATAGAGGGTGCCTTTACTGTTTTCTTTCACCTTTCTTGCAAAGTACATGCTATTCGCTCTTTGATGTTGATTTTTCATTGTTTTTATCTCATCGATTCATTAATTGGGATTAATTTCAGTCATATTTTATTGAAAGAAATGATAAAAGTGGACAAGAAAATCCGAATAAATAGGAACTGCTTTCTCAAAATGAGTGGAAACTGCAAGCTCAGAATTCGTCACTCCTTAATTTCCCAGTCAATGATTTCTTTTGTTTTCT